GAGCTGTAACTCAGATCTTCAGGGACACCTTTTGGTAAGTACCCCCTACCCCCACCTCCACCAAGATCCAAGAAAGGGGAGATCTGCAGGCCTTGGGGCTCCCACTGGACCCCAGTGCAGAAGGTAGTGGCTCCCAGCATCTCCACCTGGGCCTAGTGAACACTGGGAGAATGGGTGGTGGGTGCTGCCCTTAAAATGCACGTGTCCAGGAAAGAGCCCATCCCAGGAAGCTCAGTGGTCCCAGAGGGAGCCAGCCTCACCTCCGCCTCAGGACTCCAGCTGCGGCTGGTTCCTGAAAGGAAGTGTATGTGTGTGCACACAGGAATGCATACGAGTGGCTTTTTGTGGATCTGTAAGTTGTGTGGAAATGTACGTGTGTCTACATATACATATACACGTGTATGTTTATTCATTCTTTCCATAAACATGTTTTGAGTACCTCTTGTGTGCCAGGCACTGTGACAGGTAACAGGGATATAAGGGTCAGCAAAGGAGACACACCCTTTGTCTTCAGGGGGAACAGTCTGCATGCATGTGCACCTGTATGTGCCTGTGTGCCTGTATAAGATGTGGTTTTGAGAACAAACAAAAACTTCAGGGCAGGAAATGTAGCAGAGAGCCTCTGACTTTTCAGGCAAAGTAAATGGTTCTGAAAATCCCAGAATAATCCAAGGGTCCCTGGAGGTCCACAGGCCAGGGGTGTGGAAGAGAGTACCCAGAGAGGTACCCTGGAATCTATCCCCTAGAATATATCCAGGTGAAGCAGAGGCCAGACACAAGTTCTTGGCCCAGAAATCCCAGCTGTGAGCCACCACCCCAGGCCATCCCAGTGTCCTCCAGAGGCCTCACCGGGTCTGCAGCCAGTCGGTTGGGGATGGTGGGAGTCTGCTGGTCAACACACACCACCTTCTTCATGTCCTCGAAGCTGGGATCATTGGGCACCACATCATAGAAGGGTGGCCTGTAGTCCTCCACGATGCCTGGGAATAGAGGGTGACGGGACAGTCACTCGGGATCCCAAGAAGGCCCGATACCACCCAGAGGAGAGCCTTGCCCACCCTCTGTCCTAGGGTCCAGGTGAAACCAGTTGCCTGGGCATGCTACCCCTGAGAGGGACACCATAATATAATAAATATATTTATAAATAATAATAGTTACTGCCAGTTATTTTACATTCACCATATATGTTGGACGTTGTGCTATAAACACTTTACACGCATTATCCTGCTAGTATTCACAGCAACCTGACAGGTGGGTACGATTTCTACCCCCGTTTTCCAGGTGAAGAAACCGATGCTCAGATAAGTTGAGCCCAAGGTTACCCAGCTAGTAGCGGCAGAGTAAAGACCTGACCTCACTGTATTCCTAGGCCAGTCTTTTTCCCACCCAGGGCCCAGGTACTGCTCCCAGACCCCAGCTATCACAGATACCCAATAATACGTTTACTGAACATTTACTATGTGTCAGGCCCTGTCCTCACTGCATTGCATTAAATCCTCACAACAACCCTATGAGGTAAGTAATACTATGAGCCCCACTTTATAAGCAATGACATTAAGACCAGAGAGGTTAAGAAACTTGTCTGCAATCCCACAGTAGTGAGTGG